AGAGAGAGAGAGAGAGAGAGAGAGGGGAGCAGACTCCACTTTTTCGCATCTCTCCACAAACACACTCCGATTCAGGCGTGAAATCCGATGCTAGAAAAAGAGAGAGAGAGACTGTCTCTCTCTCTCTCTCTCTCTCTCTCTCTCTCTCTCTCTCTCTCTCTCTCTCTCTCTCTCTCGGAGCGTGTTTGATTTTGTCATGTCACGTCATAATGTCCTATTGTCTGTAAATGTTCGAAGGGATAGACCGATAGCGGGCAAGGCCGGCTGCGGGTGAAAAGATAGTACATCCCGGGTGCGGGCTGGCAATGATTTTCTTGCGGGTGCGGGTGGGTCTAGGTGAACCTTTTTTACGGGTGGCGGGTGGGTTGGACGTGGACGGAAAAATTCGAAAAAATGTTTGGGTGGGTTGGATCAGCTTGACACTTTTTTTTTTTTTTTTTAATAAGGGTTGCATGTACTAAGAAAATTTTTATTGGGTTGGGTGAAGTGGCATTTCAAAAAAAAAATGCTCATCTCTGGTGCAGGCCCTTGGGGGGGGTGTAGGATCTGGTTGCCGTTTAAGGGTGAAAACAATAATACGAAGTAAAGCACCCATCACCACCCCCCACAACCCCCCCTTCCTCCCCGCCCATTGTGTGGATTTTTTTAAAGATGGGGTAGGATAATGCGTGCTATGTGATGGGTGTGTCATGGGGAAGGGGGGTTGCGTGGTTCACAATTGTTGAGTTGTTGGGGCCTCAGGGGGGGGCAGGGTGTCATTTTCGGATTCATGGCCTTGGGGGCATAGGATTTTGTCAGCCTTTCAGGGTGAGAAAAAAAAAAACCCAACCCCCACCCCAACCCCCACCCCCACCCCCACCCCCAACCCCACATTTTTGTAGATTCCGAAAGCAGGGGTGTGTGATACATGGTAAGGTACTTGTTGGGCCAAAAAAAAAAACAAAGGGTAACTTCAGTACAGTCACAAAAACTAGTTATGATTGCACCATGGGCCAAGATATGGTTTGCAATTGCGACGATTGGCATCGTACGGGGAGGGAAAGCTCGGTTGTATTAGGACATGGGTGCAATTGGAAACAGTATCCTGGCCTGCAATGCAATTACAACTCGTTTTTGTGACTCCCGTGTAGTTTCCCAAAAAAAATAAAAATTTCATTGGTCATGGGGGGTGGAAGAGCGGCCGATTGTTAACGAGGTTTTTCCTGTCTTTGGCATGATAATTGTTTGGGGTTCGATATTCGTGGGTTATCGGGGCCCTTGGGGGGTGTAGGGTGTCGTTTTCGTGTGCAGGCATTTCGGGTTGTTTGGTCTGTGAGGTTTGCAGTGCTTTGGAGGCTTGTGATTGTGGTTGGTGGTGGTTAGGGGTGAGGCCAACTGTCCGTTCTTTCTATTCCACATAATCATGGGGTGGTTTCGTGCATCCCGAATCTGTACAATAATAGAGAAGTCAACAAAAGTCAGCAAAGTACAACAAATTGGAACATTTTTGATGGCGCATTTCCGTTAACATGAACTGATGGCTTCAAAACATATGCAATAGGGTACAGAGACGCAAGTGTTACATTTCACACATTACGAAACGATGCATTATGTACAATGAAATTGTAATATCATGCATGCAATAAAATGCATCGTGTTACCAAAAACACAAACAAAATTTACAATCCATAGGAAACATGAAACAAATATGTACATCCGAGATCATGTGAGTTGTGGACTCATACAACACAATCATAGAACGAGCAGGGAAAAGCAATACAATTGCCGCACACGTTGAACAATATGTGATATAGGACTCATATCCCCGAAAGTACAAATGTTTCGTCGAACAACTCCTCCTCTTATGAGTCCTAAACCGCAACAAGGTTAGTGATTAGGTAAATCAGGTAAGTCACGCAAGCGTTCTCAATTATCGGGAAATAGAAGGATTTGTTAGAATCAGAGTAAATAAACAATCCGGGACTGAAACTGATCGCGAATCATTTGGATAAAATTTAACGAAACATTTTATAATCATCTGTTTTATTTCCTTTTGCCATTTTTAGTTATTTTTCGTGTTCCTTAATTCTATTATCGAAAATAATAAAAATAAAAACAATTTCATCAAAAGCTAGGTTACCGGGCCGGACATCCGGGACCCCCCTGACCGTCCGGGAT